CGTACGGTGTCGAATAATTTGGTGTCGAATAAATCTGTGTCGAATCGAGCGGTGTCGAATCGTACTGTGGTCAATAGAGTATCACCCGAAAAAAGTCTTATTCTAAGTAGGCGTATGGAACAAAGCATCGCTCGTCGATAAATTTACGCTTCAGCAAAAAAAATCTGCCGGCGAGCAGATTTTTGATTCGTCCCGCGTCACAACCTCTTGAAACGCGGTACGACGAATTGCTCTAAAATGCAGATTTATTGACACATTTTCTTTTTTTCTCTCTTTTCTCAGTAACGTTTTCCTAACGTTATTGAAAGTAATTATGCGGGAGGTTGCGAAATTGAGAGTTATTTCCTTGATTTTACATACCTCCCGCGTCACCGTCCGGAGTACGAACTACGTACGCATAAAATTTCAGGGCACCGGACAAACGACTCGATGTAACTACCACGGCTGTAGCCTTCGAGCTCGTCCGTCATATCGCCCAGGAAATTTCCCGTACGCAGTTCGTATTCGCCGGGTTCTCTGCTGCTCACATAAATACACGAATCTGTATTGTAATAAAGAACGCGCTCGCCTAAACGTTCTAAATATTCGTACAATTTAATAATAATTTCAATCGCGCCTGTGCCGTCGTGTACGCCGCTATTATCACGTTGGTTCTCGGAGAGGGTACGACCGCCTCGTCCCGCATTTGTCATGAAACATATATTACCTCGTCATTCACAGGTAATATATCGGTTACTTCGTGTTCGGGGCTCGACAATAGCGATACGAGACGTTTCTGCGACTTTACCATTTCGGTACTTGTCAAGTTCGATTTTTGCCTAAATTTCCCCCAAAACAAATTGAGGCACAGTTTTGCAACCGAGCGTAAACCCGGATTTTGCGCAATGTTTGCTTTATCTAGAGCGATACCCTCGACTGCTTCGTATTCTCGAAGATATCGGTCTTTAGATTGGTCGTCCACGCATTTGCTCAGCCATCCGCTCGCCTCTTGCTTCAATTTGAGAAAACAGTTTATGTATTTGGCAAATAATCTTTTCTGACGCGTATCAGCTTCGTATCGGTTCGTCTTGTATTGCCATATCTCGCTCACTGCAGTCACGAGATAACCTTTCTCCACAGCTTTGCGTAATTCACACGATACCCACACGCCTTCAAATCCACGATCGTGCGGATTTTCGTGCGAGCACTGAATCTGCGAGAAGATTTTTCAGCAACTGCGGCACAAGACAAACAGTAGTTTGCCCTGCACACGGTACGAGAGTACAGAGTAAAAGAGATTGCGCGGGGAAGCACTCTACAACGCGCAAGCCCCTCGACCGCAGAAAAATTGACACCGGGCATTGCCCTGATAAGCGAGGCGCACTTTTTTTCTCTGACAAGAATTTTCGGATGTCCAATCGGGAAAGCGCCGGTTTTCAACACGTAAGGGTATAGAGAACACACGTCTACGTAACGTATCTTCTCCGTACACGTAATTTTGCGCCGAATCGCGATGTTTCCCGTTCGACCGCCGAAAAACGCGTCACGCGGTGAAAGCGGTTCAGCCGCGAACATCGGATGTTGGTCTAAAAACGCTCGCATTTCGCGATTTTCCCGCATATCGCGATCAAAAGCGCACTCCCATTTCTCCGTTACGATGTACCCTCGTTTGCGAAGACGCCATGACGTTGTCAGTGTACGTTTGTATTGCGAGTTCACCGTGTCGTACATTTCGCGTTCCCCCGTGCAGAGACGTTTGTCGCGTTCTGTTTTACAACACACGGGACACCCGTGCCAAAAGCAGCCGTGGTATTGCAACACGTGACGCTCACCGTTCGCCGTCTCGTAATACCCATCGACGGGAATGCCTCCGACTTCCGCGAGACGATGTTCTCGTCCGTGACTCGCGGGAACAATGATGCGGCCGCGATCGCGCTTCTTCCACACTAGCCACTGCAGAACTTTGCGGGATTGCGCATCCGCGAGGCGATATCCGCCGCGAGGAATGACGCCGATTTTTTTCTAACGTAAAAGGTTTTTGCAGAAAACGCGCATACATTTGGAAGCGATGGTTGTGGATTCTTCGAACGGACATACGTTTCCGCGTTCGAGAAATATCTTGTGGAAGGCCATGCACGCTCGCCGCAAGATATCAACGTCGTTACGACAATAACGAACTATCTCGCGTTGAAAGTCAAAAACTGCGTTTTTGCGCATTTGTTCCGCGTGCCACGACAAAAAACGTTTGCGTTCTTTGCTAGACATACTATCCGGCAAGTAATATTCAACGGCTGGTAACGGACGTACGATTGATTCGCGAATGTGTTAAATAAATGCGGAAAATATCCCTTTTCTACCCTATCCCGCAAATCGAAAGCCTTTGGCAAAACTGACAAACGCATCGGCATATAGTTGATAAATTGTCAATAAATTTTGTACGCCCGGCCGTTAATACGACGATCTTCGTCCCGTTTAATATTACTCGTGGATCCAAATTGACACGTTTTTCCGTGATGTAACGAAAGATGAACTGCGCGTCGAACGCCTTGGCGTTGTGCGCGATGCAGATAATCTGCTTGAAACATTTCGTCCTTCTCGTAACAAAATCGACAAATATCCTCACCGGATCATCGCGGAACACGAATTTGCGCACACCGCAGCACCGGCAACGTAGCGTCATGTCGTTCTTGCCCGCACACACGACGCAAATCTGCTGTGCGACGCAAAGAGTTGTAACGGTTCTACTTTTTCGTGAATGAGTGTTCCGTTCTTTTGAGTAAGTTTTATTGCTGCGGAGTAGCTCGNCGGATTCAGGGTAAAGGTAGAAACAGAGTGAACTCGGTGATTTAAAATAACAAAATAAAGAAGATTTATTCAATAAAAAAAATATCAGAGAAATTATATGTACAAGAAAGAAATGAAAAGAATATAACACTGTGGAGAACTTATTCGGCAGTTATTCTCGGAATCGCGCGTGAGAAAGTCACGTTTTCGCTGTTTATAAACTCAAGTATGCGCTTGCGGCCGGCGATTTAAACGGCGCGACTCGGTCAAGGCCGTTGGAGAACCTGAGTTGGTTGTTTTTGTCTATGGTCGTGTGAGTTCCGCGGTAGCGCTCGAGACTGCTTTTATCTGGTTCGTACGGAAGAATCTCTTTTCTATAAAAGAGGTTTATACAAAGTCGTTTTACAAAACGAAGTTTTGTCGGTGCGAGGAAAAATATTTACAACGCCGAAAAGTTACTTTTATTCCGAAAAGTAGACTTAGTCGGCGACCGGTCTTTCTACGCTGGCTTTTCTTACTTTGGCTTACGGCTTGTTCCCCTAGCGCGGCTCCAACGGAAAGCGTCAGTCGGCTCGCCAGGGAGCACGCTATTCTTTGACCGAAAGGAAGCCGGTTTTCCCGGCGGAGAATCGGAAGATTCCCCGAGCGGAGCAGGAAAGAAAGCCGGTTTACCCGGCGGAGAATCGGAAGATTCCCCGAGCGGAGCGGGAACGAGTGCCGGTTTACCCGGTGGAGAATACAAGATTCCCCGGAGAGGATCGGAGCGGATGCCGGTTTACCCGGCTGAGAATCTAAAAGATTCCCCGGAGCGGATCGGATCGTATAGTCACTGTCGGTTTGCCCGACCGAGAAGAAGCTTCCCTGAGTGCTACTGGTGGATCCGGAGATCGGAGCAGATCTGATCTTTTCGGTTTTCGGGCCGGCTTTTATACCCGAATTTTCCCGGAGAGGATCGGAGCGGGGGTTGACAAATATGCGCGGAAAACAGATTATTTGTTTGTCGCTGTCAGTTCCGTGGCGCGGCGAGGCGCGCGGTGCGGGCGCGGTACCAGCTGGTACTTGTAGGCGCGGGGTAGCGCGCGGCGCGGGCGGTGCGCATGCTTTCAGCGTATGTTCGATATACGTTGATTTTGGAGAGATTATTTGGCGCTAAGCGCCGCTTTTTTGGCCGGGACGGATGGTCGGTCCCGGCCGTAACGATTAGCATCGTTACATCCCGCTCCTCCTTAGGGGAAAGACGTGTTCCTACACGTCTTCAGGCGTCCTTGGCCGCCGAAGCGTAGGATCCATCGGCCATCGTGCAAGTCCGCCTTGAATTTTCGCCAGACGTGCCGGGCCTTGTGTGGCACGTCGACGAATCTCCCCGGCTGGATCTCCACCTTGGTACCGGACGGAGCTGGTGGCTCGGCAGGGGCGGCGGTGATGATGTTCGCCGTGCCTGTGGTGGCGGGTGCCTGAATCCGGGCTGGGTATGGCCAGGCAGTGGCCCGAATCCGCGTCCCCGGTGCTGCTCGGCGGGCGTTGATGTCCGGCGCCGTCAGTCGGCGAATTTTTCTCGCCGTCTCAGGGATCGCCTTGGCGGGGGCCGTTGATTTTGGCCCGTCGAGGTCCTCGTCGAGGTCTGAATCCCCGAAGAGATCTTTTAGGACCTGGCGCCGGTTTTTAGCCGGTTTTGGTTCCGGCGATGCTGTTTGCTTATCCACGAGGTGGATTATGCTCTCGAAGAGTGTTTCGAGAGTCTCGTCTGGCATTTCGGAGTATCTTTCCGTGATAGCTTGTTCGGCACTCATTGTGACGAATGGTGCTGAGACGATTTTTCCCGCTGCTTTTATAGCCCGGGAGTTGTTGTTTTTCTGATGTCCGCTCTTGTTCTGTATTGTTGATGTTGCTCGTGGTTCGTTCTCGTCCGTCTCTGTTTCGTTATCGCTTTCCTTGTCGTTGTTTTGATCGTCTGGTCGTAGTCTTTTCAGGTCTCTCACGTGCACGTGTCGGTGCCATTTGTTTTGTCTATCTTGTAGATCCGCTATTACTGGTGAAATGTATCTTTTAATTTTTAGTGGCCCGATATACCGTGGCGCGAGTTTTGCATTAAAATCTCGCGCTTTGTTTGATAGCGGGTACACCCGTTTCCACACTTCCTCTCCTATCTCCGGTTTCCATTCTCGTCGCCGTAAGTTGTAGTGTCGCGCCTGTTGTTGAAATGTTTGCGCGAAATGTATCTTGACTATTTCAAATGCATCCTCTAGTCGTTTTTTTAAGATATGTGGGGCGGCTGCGGCGGCTCGTGGTGGACG